CTCGGAACAAACTTATTTAAAGTCTCTTTTTTTTTTTTTTTTGAGATAGAGTCTTGCTCTGTCACCCAGGCTGGAGTACAGTGGTGTGATCTCAGCTCACTGAAACCTCTGCTTCCCAAGTTTAAGCAATTCTCATGTCTCCACCTTTGGAGTAGATGGGATTACTGGTGTGTACCACGACGCCCAGCTAATTTTTTTTGTATTTTTTTGTAGAGATGGAGTTTCACCATGTTGGAAAGGCTGGCCTTGAACTCCTGGCCTCAAGTGATCCGCCTGCCTTGGACCCCCAAGGTGCTGGGATTACAGGCAGGAGCCACTGTGCCCAGCCTCCTTTTAAATTTTTTACTTGATTTTGTTTTGTTTTATTTTCCAGCAATATAGGTACTCGGGCTTGACTTCCTTTGCCCTTCTTCATCCATCACCAACTCCAGTGTCCAGAAAGTTACTTTAGAAATCTGTGGTCCATATGTCATGTTCCTAGGGATTAAAAACTGTTCCATTAGTGCATAATCCTGGAAGAAAAGCCTTCTGAATTTTACAATCAGAATGTGGGAAATGCTGTCAAGCACCTGCCTGATGTTCCTGTTTTCCAGACTCTGATTAAGTGACATCAAGATGCTAATGGCAAAGTTGTTTAACGTGTCTTTCTCCAAAGCTGGTTAGGATTTCACTGGGATTCTTAAAATTTGAGGGTGTCTATAACTGTCAAAATTTTTATTCATATACTCCCTCATGAAATTTCTAAAACTCAGCTGGGCTTGATGGCTTACGCCTGTAATCCTGACACTTTGGGAGGCCAGGGCAGGAGGAACATGAGGTCAGGAGTTCAAGACCAGCCTGGCCAACATGGTGAAACATCATCTCTACTAAAAATACAAAATTAGGCTGCTTGCAGGTGCAGTGGATCACACCTGTAATCCCAGCACTTTAGGAAGCCAAGGCAGGCGGATCACAAGGTCATGAGTTCGAGATCAACCTGACCAACATGATGAAACCCCATCTCTACTAAAAATACAAAATTTAGCTGGGCATGATGGCATAGTAATCCCAGCTACTCAGGAGGCTGAGGCAGAAGAATCACTTGAACCCCAGAGGTGGAGGTTGCATTGAGCTGAGATTATGCACTCCAGCTTGGGTGACAGAGTGAGACACCGTCTCAAAACAAAAAACAACAAACAGAAAAACAAAATACAAAAATTAGCTGGGCATGGTGGCACATTCCTGTAATCCTAGCTACCAGGAGGCTGAGGCAGAAGAACCATTAGAACCCAGGAGGCAGAGGTTGTAGTGAGCTGAGATCGTGCCACTGCACTCCAGCCTGGGTGACAGAGCAGGACTCGGTCTCAAAAACACACACACACACACAAACAAAACAAAACAAAACAAAACAAAACAAAAAAACAGAAAGAAAGAAAGGAAATAAATAAATAAATAAATAAATTTCTAAAACTGTATTTCTTTGTTTATTTTAGGTTGACATCTGTAACTTTGTATTACTTTAAATACTTGGAAAAAATATCACTTCCAGTGCACTGTAATGATGTATGAAGTAGAAGTGACAAAAATCAGTGAAAACATTTCTTCTAAGATCTGCATAAACGTTCAAGAAAATAGAAAGCAGGAACTTACCTCTAATCTATGTTCCCTTTACTTAAAAATGTAATGTTGACCTACCAAAGGCAAGGCAGAAATTGTCTCATCCATATTCCCTGCAATTATTCCAAATGTGCATCTGAGATCAGAACAAGACACAGGTGAAGGAGGGTGCTCACTAGGCCCCTTCTGCCAAAACAGAGGGTGACAGTGCAGTGGAGTCCTTTCATAGCAAGTCCTGCCTGCATGATTTCCAAAGCTTGAGTATTCCAAATCTAAGGCAAACAGGGCAGTATCCACTGAGCCCTGACACAAACTTGCTGCTAAGATGAAGGAAGCCGCTGCTGCAGTCAGTATTTCTTACCCACACACTTTGCTGTCTTTCTGGCCGGTGTGGGAAGGATGGCATCATTGATGACACATAGGAAGTAGAAGAAGCAAGTTTATTAAATAAAAGCTTCCACCACTCCTGCCATCCCACTACGATATATCTATTTCTTTTTTCTTTTTTTCTTTTCTTTTTTTTTGAGACAGAGTCTTGCTCTGTCACCCAGGCTGGAGTGCAATGGTCTGATCTTGGCTCACCGCATCCTCCGCCTCCCAGGTTCAAGCGATTCTCATGCTTCAGCCTCCTGAGTGGCTGGGATTAAAGGCTCTGGCCACCTTGCCTGGCTAAGTTTTGTATTTTTAGTAGAGACGAGGTTTCGCCATGTTGGCCAGGCTGGTCTTGAACTCTTGACCTCAGGTGATCCACCTGTCCTAGCCTCCCAAAGTGCTGGCATTACAGGTGTGAGCCACTCACTCAGCGATACACCTATTTCTAACACCATGTTTCTACTTAATAGTAATATATACAAGACTTTGGAGGGACACAAGGCCTTATCTTGTGCTTATATTGTCTCAACTTAAGGAAGCCACATTGATTAAAACATCAATATTTCAAACAGACCCTTTATTTGACATTCTGAGTTTTTTTTTAAACTTTCTAGAATGTTGCATCACCATGAGAGTCAGGTTGTGCGAGAGATAAGACTTTCTTTTTACATGAGGTGAAGGTCCAGATCATTCTCACTGCAGGTTAATTAAGTTTTATGAAAGAATACATAATGAAACTGAAAACCTGAAAATTGATTATCTTAAAACCATTAGTGCCCACATACCCTGTGAAAATTCCCAGTTATTCTCTGGATGCAAGTACCTTAGTTTGAAGAGCCTGCCTCATGCAAATGAATACATCTGTGGCAGGAAATGTATGCATTATTGGGTGCCAGTAGTAGTGATGCTTTAGAAGTGGACTTATCAGAGTGCATTGTATAAGCTGTCACTCACTCATGCATAAGATCTGTCTCAGATGCTGCTAGCAATTTTTAGAGGCAGCACTAGCTAAGCCTTAGGATATATTCCCTCTAGAGAAGGCCTGTGTTTGCCAGACCACAAGTTGATCAGAGGCTAAGCACAATCATGAAGTAGAAAGCCTTTATTCCTTCCTTCTCTTCCTTTAGGATGATTTTCACTCTCCCAACCCTATGGACACCCAGAAGCCTCTGCTTTCATCCTTCCCAGCCAGCTTTTTATTTAAAGGAATCTCTGTCTTCAATAACACTGAAAAATACAGGATGGCTAGCAGCTCAAATTGTAATTTTTTGCAAGGAAAATTTGTTTTCTAATAGCCTTAAGTCAATATTCAAACACTTCTATATCCTATTCACAATGTTTGCCATATTCACATACTGTGTCTACTGTCATTTTCTCTTTTCTCTCTACATGGACGCACCATTCTACATGTTTAATTTAGAAGAAAAGCTATTGTTATTTCCACCACAGCGAATATCCCTGCTGTCTTAGCCTGCATTCTCCAGAAAGCCAAGCTAGAGATAAAGGTTTGAGTAAAGTGATTTATTTGGAAACATGGGTCCAGCAATGCAGGCCCAGGAAGGAGGCACAGCCAGTACAAGGAAGCCTCACAGAGGTGACCACTGTTAGGGGCCACTGGTACTTGATCCCATGGGGACTTTCTAGGGAGCCTCATTCAATGTCTCTCAGAACTCTTCACCTGGGAGGCAAAGGAGGAAGCAGTTATCCACCAGCTTCCAACCCACTTTGGTCAAGAGCAGCTCCATGGGCATCAACTTCCCTGCATTTCTGGATCGCACATGCTTGAGTGCAGAACTTCCAGAGAATGCCAAGACATCAGAGAATCCATGGGTAGGGCCAGACTCAGACTGTGGATCCTGCAGGCCCATGCAAGGTATTGTTAGGTTCCACTTGTGCAAACAGGTAGACTGGTCCAGGATGGGTCAGCTGCTCACCCACAGGAGCTCCAGAATCCTACAACAAAGGGGTGCACAGGGGTGGGTGGCAAGCTAGCTGGAAATGGGAGTGATGTGACTAAAGTCTTCCTCACCCCTCCTGAGGTGCACTCAGCTGGGGCTGGGGTGACCGGAGTTCACTGTCCAGTGTGGCTGCCAGGAGCCCACTCTGAAGATGGTGGGATGCAGAGCTGGGAGTACAGTTGAGGGTGGTCTTATGAACTGAGCACTCTCCCAGAAGTGTCCCCTACATATGAGGTCAACAGCTCATTTCTGCAGGGACTCAGGAGTAACTCTGGGTGCTAAAACAAAACTTGAGACCAGCACAGAAACAGCCAGCCCATGAAGCTCACCTCCCATCACACAGCAAGGCTAGTGGGCCCCCCCTCCCTCTTTTCGGGCACCTTTCTTCTCTTCCACTAGGCTGGGTACTCTTGGTGTTTCATGTTTGTTAGTTTGTGCATGGTGGTGAGGGAGGCCGCTGTGCAGTTTGCCTTAGCTACATCCTCTAAAAAGTATTGCAGCACACTTTACAATAGCAAAGACCTGGAACCAACCCAAATGACCATCGATGATAGACTGGACAGAGAAAATGTGGCACATATACACCATGGAATATTATGCAGCCATCAAAAACGATGAGTTCGTGTCCTCTGTAGGGACATGGATGAACCTGGAAACCATCATTCTCAGCAAACTGACACAAGAACAGAAAATCAAACGCCGCATGTTCTCACTCATAGGCGGGTGTTGAACAATGAGAACACATGGACACAGGGAGGGGAATATCACACACTGGAGTCCGTTCAGGGGAAATAGGAGAGGGACAGTGGGGGGTGGGGAGTTGGGGAGAGATAGCATGGGGAGAAATGCCAGATTCAGGTGAAGGGGAGGAAGGCAGCAAATCACACTGCCATGTGTGTACCTATGCAACAATTTTGCATGTTCTTCACATGTACCCCCAAACCTAAAATGCAATAAAAAATAATAAAATGTTACAAACAGAAAGTACCTATTAGAAGACAATAGCAGAGGGAGCTTCCTCAAACACCCTCCCCAACTCATGGCACTGACGAAGTACTTCTGGGCAAACTCAAATCCTCTGTCAAGTAGCAGGAAGTGAAAAGGGGGAAATGTCACCTCTCTGACCCATCACCCAAAGCAAAACGGAGTGATTTCTCATTGTTTTATAGACTGCAAGAAGAGAACATCTCAGAAGAGAGTCTCTTCCTGAAATCGAAGGATTTAAAGAAAAAGGGAATTTTTCTTCAGCAAGTAAGTACATTTACTGTTATTTTACTATGGGATAACTAGCTGATAGAACTAGTTACCAGCAACCTGACTACTTTTTAAACAAACATACCACTACCACCTCCTGGATCCATGGTTGCCCTCTAAGGAACACTCAGTGTCTCATTCCCACAGGAGGCTGTGGCTTCCTGACACATTTGGAGCATTATAGCCAGAATTGTGGCCCAGATGATAGCAAATATTATTTTTGCGGGCCGTATTTAAATTTCTCAAGCCAGTGAAATTCTAGTGAAAGTGGGAAAATTGCTTGAGCTTGGGAGGTTGAGGCTATGGTGAGATATGGTCATGCCACGGCACTCCAGCCTGGGCAACAGAGCAAGACTCTATCTCAAGAAAAAAAAAATTCTGGCGAATAAGTCTCTTTTAACTAATCCTGCCTAAAATGAATGATGGCTAATAAGACAATATGGCGTGGCTGGAACACTAACTCCAGGGTGGTCCCCAAAGGGGACACTCACGCATTCTCTGAGCAGCACTGGGCTGTGTCCTAGCAGCCTGAAGGGATGATGGTGGAGCACAGTGTTCATTTTCATTTCTCAATTTTGATGTATTTACTGGAAAATTAATCACTGGCCACCTCACATGAGAGTACATACTTTTCTTTTGAGACAGCATCTCGCTGTCGCCCTGTGCCTTGCCCACCTCAGCCTCCCAAAGTGTTGGGATTACAGATGTGAGCCGCCACGCCTGGCCCTGGAGTACATAATTTGAGTAAGTAATGGTTGCACTGTGTTTTTTTCCATCCTTTTTTACTGATAGACTTTTCTATTGATTGAAATCTTGTACCTCTTTATGATATATTATTTGAACAGAGGGTTTAAAGAATTGAGATACTTTTTTTCCTATGTTGATATGTCAAGAAAGAAGTTGTTTCATAACTTAAGTTCTACCTTGGACAAAATACGCCCTTACTGCCTGCTCTGTGCTACTTGGTATGTTCAGAAGAGGATTTGAACTTTTGTAGGTTGGCTAACAGATATGGAGGGTCCTTACAGTTCTCTGTGTTTCTAACAAAGTCTTAACCACATCCATTAAGTAGAAAACCCTTTCATGGAAGGGCTGTGGTTGATTCTTGGAACCAGTACAAAGTAGAGTCTCATCACAGAATTTCAACTTGCGTTTTCTCAGGGTCACACCACGCTTTAGAGGTTGCTTAGGTTAAGACCTCCAACTAATTTTAACAGGCAACTAGGGAGTTTTACAACTGACAGCAGGCACATCTTCCTTCCTGGATGACTTTTATTTGTTCCTTTTTCAGGTTGTGAAACTATATCCACAACCTTTGAAGCCCGGAAACACTATCCAAACTCTCGTCAGTGTGTTTTCTCACTGGAGAATCCTCTACGTGTGGCAACTGGATTGTCATCAGCCCTGCCTGTTTTGTACCTGGAAAGTGCCCTGGTCTTACTTAGCTCCAAATTGTTGGCTTTCACTTTTGACCCCAAGCATCTGAAGCCATGGGCCACACATGGAGGCCGGGAACATCACCATCCAAGGGGTCATACTCCATGTTCTTTCTTCTCTTGGTGCTGTTTGTTCTTTTTTACATCGGTTCAGGTAAGTAACTTTCAGGAACTTAATTGAGTCAGTTGCTACAGGGTTAAGAGAAAGGAGGTGGCGTTCTCTGAGCTGCTCCCTTCTATTACCCTATAAGCTGGAAGGAACCTTCAGGGTGATTTCAGTACATTTTAACGATGAGAAAACTGTGGTACAAAGAGGCTAAAGGACCTGCCTATCCTCACACAGCAAGTTAGCAACCAAATTAACCCAAGAATCCAGACCTTCAAGGAAGGGTGAGAGAGACAGTATTATTTTTAATAAAATCATACAGCCAGAGATTCAGAATGGTCTCTTCCATGAATAAGAGATGCTCATTTACATTTTGTGATGTGCCAGTACTGGCCTCAGAGTCCAGTCCCAAACTATGTTTTCATGATAGAAATCAGCGAAGTATTCTGCCTCTAAAATTGAACAATGGTGATCTTTCCAATTTGAAGACAGGAGAGTAGTCGAGGGCAATTCCTCTCAATGACATTAATCTTCTTAATCTTAAATTCCTCTTCATACATTAATCTTATTTGTTCTGCTTTGGATTCTGAGATCTTTTTTCAACACTGGCATTTGACTTTAAGTGTTATCAGATTTAGCATAAAATTATATTTTTAGTTATCTTTAATCTGCTACATCGGTATTACAGATATGTCCTGCAAATAATAATTTGATTTCTAGAGGCTTTTGTTCCTGTTCAGGTGATCTTAAGAGTGCTGGACTTTTGGGACTGTCAAGAAGGGTGAGGCTTGTCCCTGCTGGCAGGATGGTTCTGACTTTTTTTTTTAAGTCAGAAAACAATAGATCTACTTTTTAGTGAGCAGCATACCTACTGATTTCCCAAAAATAAAGAAGCAGCTTGGGCTCCAGCATGGTTTGCCAGTCTGCAAAGACCCAACTATTAAGATTTCTGGCCTTAAAAATTCCTCACTTAAAGTACTGCCTAAAACATCAGAGGTATGAGAGAGAGGTAGAGGGAGGGAAAGAGGAGCTGGAGACACACAGATTACTTGACTGCAATGGTGGTCATTAAACATTTTCTGTCCAGAGCTATTTTACATTGTTTTAGAATGAAGAGAACCATGGCTTACATTTCACAATTTACACCTCAGATTTTGTATATATTTGACAGTTATATTACATTTCCAACAGTTACAATTTCCTTCTGGGAAGTTGGGGGAGCACTCCCAAACTAGTCTTCTGGGGAGTATAAAGGAGTTTAAAATACTTAGAAGGAAATATGTACAGGTTTCCCAAAAATTAGGGGGGAAGAGAGGATGAGAGCCAGAAAGAGAAAGAACAATAAAAAAGCAAAAGAAGACATGAAATAAAAATTAAAACCCAGACTTTAGAACTTGTACCAGGAAAATTAGAGTCAGAGGTACATGGAAGGAGATCTTTGAGCTAAATAAAGACGTTAAGGAAAGCACCTTGTTCTCCAGCTACATCCTGGTTTTACTGCTGCTGTGACTGAGTCAATGAACCACCTACTGTGCGCCAGGTGGACCATAAAAATTGAGGCTAGGATTCCTGCCCTCAAAGAGGTTTGCCTATGTTATTTGGGGCAGGGCAAAGCTAACCCATGTAAAACAGGCAAAGAGCAATGCATTGCTTTCCCCTGATTGTAAGAGCCCAAGATCTGGGAAATGGGGTACCAGGCTGGCCTGCAGCAAGGAAGGTAGGCTTTACTACCTCCCCAGCTCCTCTTTCCCTCCCTCTACCTCTCTCTCATACCTCTGATGTTTTAGGCAGTACTTTAAGTGAGGCAGATGGGTGATGGAGAAAGAATTCTGGTCAGGGCAACAGCTGTTCACTCTTTTGTTTAATCATTTATTAAGTCAACAAACATGAGCATCCCATGCATGCAAGAGACCATTCTTGGTCCTGGGGACAAGTTGTGAGGAAAATGGACATGGCTCTTGTGTTTATGAAATTTGCAATATTATTTGACAAGTGATAACTGGGAAGAGGAAAAGTCATCCAATAATCACTCGAATGTATGAAGGTGTGGCCAGCAAACAAAGCTTAGTGCTTTGAAGGCAGGGCACAGGCACTGCCAGAGGAAGTGCTGTCTTCCCCTGCCAGAAGGAGGGGCAGTGAGCTCTAAGAGGAGGAGAGGAGGGAATGGCCCGAGAGCAAGAACCAGGCCCCACAGCGCTTGTGAGCTACGGTCATGAATCTGCACGTTATTCAGGAAGCTGGAAGGGCTTTACGAAGGGGAGTGGTGTAGTCTACCCCAGCTCTGTTCACACTTTAATTACACATACCAGTCACCTGGGGGTTCTGAGGCACAGGGAATTTTTTTTTAGAGAAGTGAATCTATTTTGCTAATACTGTAATGACAGATATAAGTTACTGTAAATTTGTCCCAACCCATAGAATATGCACTATCAAGAGTGAACCCTAGTGTGAACTCTGGATCAGGTGGTGATGAGGTATTATTGTAGGTTCATCAGTTGTGCCAAGTGTATCGCTCTGGCACAGGATGTAGATGGTGGGGGAAGCTGTGAATATATTGGGAGGGGGTATATGGAAATCCTCTGTACTTTACACTCAGTTTTTCTATGAATCTAAAACCGCTCTAAAAAATAAAATCTATATAGTTTTTAAAATGCTGTTTCTGCTTAGGTGGGTCTGGGATGGTGTCTGAGATTCTGCATTTCTAAGAAGCACCTAGGTGATGCTGATGCAGCTCCACCATACACTTTGAGTTTCAGTAGTAAATCTCTACATATAACAACAAAAAGGGTTACTGAAGAACAAGGAGTGGCTTATAGGGCATCTGCAGTGACTGTGCAAAACCTACTAGGAGGTTTTTTCAGTAACTTACCTTACCTGATGATGTCTTTGATGAAAAGAATTGAGTCATAGGGAAGTCAATGGATTGGAGAGTGTGTACCATGTAAAATTAGTGAGGACTGCCCAATAGGAGCATAGGTGTGAGTTGTGCATGGTCTCTGAGAGGTGAGATTGAGTGAATGCAGTGGAGCAGGATTACAGAGGGCATTGTTCAGGGCAGGGATTTGCCACAGTAGACCCTCCACTCCTGCCTTGGGTCAGGAAGCCACACCCTGGCAGAGGTGCTCTCCCTCTCCCCTTGCCCAGCCACTGATGCCCAAGGGAAGGGACCCCTCTTTCATACACAGGGTGGAACCAGCCAGGCTCCTCTTTCTCTCTAGGTCAGCAGGCACTGTCTATGGGGGCAGAAACATCTGACTTTTTACTCCAGCAACTGGTGGCAGTAAGGCAGAGGCTCTAACAGGGCTAAACTTGGGCCAATATGGGCAGCTTTTCCTTCAGAGCTGGAGTCCTTTAAGGGAGGCTCAGGTCTAAGGAAGAGGCAAGAGATACAGGAAAAGCATTGCCTGTAAGTTTATAGTCTGAGAACTCAGAGCTAGGAGAAAAGAGAATACCCCAAAGTGCCACCATTCACAGAACACATCCTCCTCTCCCCGCAACACACGCCACTATGCTGCTGGCCCGGGGGTCCCATGAGCAGTGATTGTTGCCATCATTACCCTGATAACAGTTCTTCAAGTTGCTGGGCATTTTAAGGATATCAATACTGTTTAGAAAGAGAAAAAGTCAGGATGAGATGGTACAGAGTACATGAGCGGGTCTAAATAAGGGGAAAAGTCAGGAGCAGTGTGAACATCAGGGGACACAGGTCTCAAGCTTGCGGCCGCCAGACGCAGCTCTGCCTGTCTCCTTTGTGTGGCTAGCACCCAGCCCAGGGCTGACGCCAGCCCTGTAGGTGCTAGTTCACCTAATCAAACATTTAAAATGGTCCAAATGGTCACTCCTGTTGGACATGTGTGCATAAACTGGGAACGGTAAAATCAGGTGGAGAGATGATAATAGGTGACTTTCATGCTTTTCTGTATCTTCCATTATTTCTTAGAATGTTTATTTTATAGTCAAGGAAAATGTTTATATTTCTCTCTCTCTCTTTTTTTTTGGGAGGAGGGGGACGGAGTCTCGTTCTGTCGCCAGGCTGGAGAAGAATGGCACGATCTTGCTCACTGCAACCTCCACTCCCAGGTTAAAGCGATTCTCCTGCCTCAGCATCCTGAGTAGCTGGGATTACAGGTGTGCACCACCACACTCAGCTAAATTTTGTATTTTTTTTTTTTTTTTTTTTTTTTTAGCAGAGATGAGGTTTCACCATCTTGGCCAGGCTGGTCTGGAACTCCTGACCTCAGGTGATCCACCTGCCTTGACCTTCCAAAGAGCTGGGATTACAGGCGTGAGCCACCGCACCCAGCAGAAAATGTTTATTTAAAAAGCACACTTGTGTTTCTAGGGAGGTCATGTATGTCATGTCATTTGGTGAGTTTTAAGATGTGTCAACTGCTTCTCTCCCTTCTCCACCAGCAGTGGTGATGAAGCTCTCAGAACCCTGCCAGGGCAGCCTCTCTAACTCCCTGGGAGGGGCACTCCAGCGTGGCTACTGCATCCACCCAGCCTCCAGCCATGGAGAGGGTAGGGAAGACTCAGGTCTTCCTAGAATGGGTTCTTTTCTTCCCTTCACGCTTTATTTGCAATGACATAAAATTCAACGTTTTAAAGTATGCAGTTCAGCTAGCTGCGGTGGCTCACGCCTGTAATCTCAGCACTTTGGGAGGTCAAGGTGGGTGGATCACCTGAGGGCAGGAGTTTGAAACCAGCCTGGCCAACATGGCAAAACTCCATCTCTACCTAAAATACAAAAATTAGCTAGGCAAGGTGGCCTGTACCTTAAATCTCAGCTACTCAGGAGACTAAGGCAGGAGAATCTTTTGAACCTGGAAAGTGGAGGTTGCTGTGCGCCAAGATGGCGTGACTACACTCCAGCCTGGGCAACATAGTGAGACTCTGCCACAAATAAATGAATAAAGAAAGAAACAAAGTGTACAATTCAGTGGGTTTTAGTATATTAGCAATGTTGTGAAACCACCATCACTATTGAATTCCAGAACATTTCCATCATCCCAGAAAGAAACCCTGTGCCTATTTGCAGCTACTCATTT